TCCTCATTTATAAGATATGTATGAAGGTTGAAAGCAAAAATTATAACATTGTCTAGTGAGACTTCTAGTGTATGTAGATGTAATCCATATAGTAATTACACCCTTCCTCAGTAGGGGAGGGTAAAGTAAGAGATATGGTTATTAAGGTTCTGCATTTTACTTAAAATGCTTAAGCAGCAACGCTAAGAAAATTGTAAAAGATTATTAATACATAGTAGTCATCTGTAGTGGAAAAAAAAGGAATACTAAGAGATGTAGGAAAAAGCTAGTAGATAAAATTGAAATTGAATACTAAAAAATATTCAAAATAATCCAAAAGGGGTCAGAATAGGAAGAACAGAGAAACAAAAGACAGAAGGACCAAGGAGAAAATAAATAGTAAAATAGCAGACTTGAGTCCAACCACGTCAATAATTATGTTAAATAAAAGTGGTCTGAATATGCCAATAAAAAGAGTAATTGTCAGATGGCATTAAAACAGGACTACTCATGGCCCTCCCCTTCAAAGTGCAACATGGGAGGAAACATGAATTAATACCCAGAAAAACAAACACAACATTGAAACCGAGGTGACAACTATGAAAGTGTAAAAGGGGCATTTGATGTAAAAGATGGAGTTCGAGAAGGCCCTGTCCTGAGCCTTCATCTCTTTTATCTCCTTTCTTGATCACTATCTACAGGTTGATGACTCTCAGTTCTAATTCATCCCAGACGTCTTCCATGCTCTGCAAACTCTATATCCAATGGTCTCAACCAGCTCCATTTAGATATCTAAAAGCCATCTTGAACCGCACATGGCTAAAACAGAACTCTATTCTGCTCAGAGCTGCTCTTCCCCAATATCCTTCCCATTTCAGGAAACAGTTCCAATATTTGCCCAGTTGTTTAGGCCAAAAATCTGGGAGTCATCCTAATTCCCCTTCTCCTCATGATATACATGCCTTCCCTAACTCGGTCTTACCAACTCCATTCCAAAGTGTATTAATATGACCACTTTCCACCAACTTCATACTCCAGCTTTTATCCAGACTCTCCCCTGACTGCCGTAACAGCCTCCTCACCCTCTCCCTGTCTCCA